GTTTTTTTAATCTGACAATTAGTAGCTTTAACTATGCAACTGTGGTAAATCCACATCAGTTTATAAATTGAAGTGTGGTACCTACGTGCCATTCTGGAAGTGGGTTGCTTGACCAAGGTGAACAGTGACTTGTCAAAGAGATCATTAGCATAATTGCCCAAGAGAAGAAAGGCAAAGAAAAAAGTGAACCTTCTTAGAGGCTTTGCTTTTTCAACAGGCTGCAAATACAATTAGGTACCTGATGAGAGAGATTTCCCAGGTGACTGCCCTGAATATGTGGGGCACCTCTAAGACTGGCTGAATTTGTGTGCACTCTTCAACCAAAAGTTAGCATGTACTAAAAATACATTTTCCCTTTAGAGTCTTAGACCTGAAATAAATCGACTGCTACAGCGGCTCTATCTTTTTTGGTATTTTATCATTTTAAAGAGCATCTGCTAGAATTGGATAATTCTCTCAAGGAGCTTTTTGGTGGCAACAGCCCAGACTTTTTAACAGGCTGACTTGAGATACTCTTGCTTTCTGGTAGCCTCTTTTCCTGGTTCCCCACCTCTTTCTTCATCTCTTACCTGCTCCGATCGCTCATGCGAGTCCCAAGGCAACGCATTAAAATTGCTCTGCGGCTCTGGATACCCGTTCTAGTGTTACGGATAGTTGTTGCGGAGGCACGGAGTCAAGTGGTTGGCCTGAGTGTATTCGGTTTGGCAAGTACAGCTTCAGTGCTTCTTTTACTGTTTGTTGTGCCCTCACAGTGTGCTAAGTGTCTGTGCTTGAAGGAAAAAAAAAACATCTCTGTGTGTGGCTGGCATGTGAGAATGATGTAAAGCTCCAGTCATCTGCTTCCTATAAAAATATTAATTGTGGTGGTTTAATTTACTATTTAACATCCTGTTTTGAGTAGCGCTTTAAACAAGGAAATGCTTTGTTACTGTTTTTTAAGGCTGTCCTCTTTTTCTTTTGAAAACGCTTCCATAAAATCCCACCTTCATGGTTGTATACCTCAACTTTTGTGGGGATTTTTTGTTTGGGACATGTTGGCCTCTGGGAGAGATTCGTGTGAGTGAATTGCACTGTTCCTGTGGCTGGCAGAGAGGTGTGCCCAACAGCAGTTAAATGGGAACTGTTTGTAGTGAGGGATTTGGGAAGGGAAGGACAGAGAGGGGCTCGAATTTGAAAGGTCCAGGTAACTTTTCACAGCAAGGTGAATATTGTCAAATTTGCAGGTTTTAACTTGTGAGTGGGGATAGGGAAATATCATGGAAAGTGAAAGCACTGATCTCCTGGAATGTGGAAGCTTCTGTCCTTCCTCTATCTTCTGAAATAATTATGAATTCAAATTTATTTCACCTTTCTTCTGTTTATATTATGCAAGTGTTTTGTGAGTGACTAAGTAAATATTATTGTGTCTCAGTGGCTCCATGGCTTCTTGAAACCAATTAACATTGGTAAATTTAAAGTGAAATATTGAACATTGATATGTTTGCAAGCCTGCTGTCATATTCAAGGGGGGAGGAGGGAAGAAAGCCTGTTTCAGAGGCTCACTAGCAAACTATTCAGCCTTTGGGAACGGGCGTTTCTTTCACTTTCCATGAACCAGTTGTTTTTATTGCTCTGCCAAGCTAGTTAGATTGATGTCATCACTAAAATAGCAGTCCATGTTCTGATATAAATCTTAGTAAAATATGATTCTAGATCCAGGGGACTATTCGCCCACATGCCATTATCATCCTCCCGAACACCAGCGGAATGGAGCTTTTGCTCACCTATGAAGATGAAGGCATCTACATTGATATATATGGGCATTTCACAAAGGAGACTGTTTTACAGTGGGGAGAAATGCCGGCATCTGTAGGTATGTATGAAAAATAGCTCTTCATTAAATACAAGATTCTGCTGCATGAAGCCTGACTTCTTTATGAGGTTTGTATCCATGTGAAAGTGTACGGCACATAAAGCAACTTCTGAGCAAAGCAGATGTGTAAAGAGTAAACAGATTTATGGATGTTTGTGTTAACACAGCCAATGATTGCAGTAGGGGCTTCACATTTGGATCACAGTCTGTATTCCTGCCACGCTGCTTATTGCATCACACTTTGACTATACAGATGAACTTCACTGGCGATGCAGCTTGCCACCAGTTCTCACAGAGAGAATTATGTGAATTACAGAGGGGGAAAAGGTGCTTTGGTTGTTCATAGCTCACAGCGTTTTATGTACAAATTCACAGCTACAGAAAGGTCAGTTACTGAAGAGATCTGTAACTGCTGTCAAATGGCCCCTTAATTTTATCACTTTAAATTCACAGGGCTGCCAGCCCAGGGTATTTATAACAGATTCTCAAGCTCCCCATGCTTGCAGTTGTCTGGGTAGGAGGAGATTTTGGTTGTAATGGAGCCAGGACAGCTGTTTGTTTCACCTTCCCCAGAGGGCTTCAAGCTAACACTATGGGGAAAACCAAGAACAACACAGGCAGATTTTTGTTTTTATTACTTGTTACTTTTAATTTGTCTCATTCCTGTTCTTTTGCATTTTAAAACAAACATGCCAATAAACAAAACAAGCCCAAGACACTTAGACTGTACAGAAGCATGGTGTTAGCTTCGAAGAAGCTGGATGCCAGAGTGAAAATCAAGGATGTTCACCTTTCTTCTTTCATTTCTAGCTGAGTAGTTTTAGGAAAAGCCCATTAAAATCAGTAGAGTAACACCCTTGAGTAAATGCCAGGTTTGACATTTGAGGAAGGTTTTCAACAGTGCTGAGGGCAGGAAGCCCTCCTCTGGAACATAGATCACTACAAGACAACTGATTTTTTTGCATCATTTCAATAACATTAAGCTGCAAAACTGCTGCAGTTTCAAAACATGGGTATAAGGTTATAGACCTGTACAGTGCTTTCTGCCTGTCACTGAATAGCCCTAGCTCCCATTTTCAGTCCATATTGGATTGGGCTGATTCAGAGCTTCAGGGCATCATCAAAATATATCAAGATATATCAATTCTGTGTTTTTCGTAGGAATATCTAATGGTCTTTGATATGCTGAAATTTTACACCCCATCTGAATTAATGTTAGAAACACCATAAGAAATAATCGATAATGAAAAAGCAATTCTTCAGCCAGGGAAAGAAGAGTTTAATAAGACGTATTGATGTAATTGGATGCTGGACTGATGAATCAGCCTGAAAGAGACAGAAGCTTTCAAGAAGCATGTTGTTATGAGATGTGCTTATGCCTTCCTAAAAGTGGCAAGCTTACTTAACATGAACATTTTCTTGGAACTGCGGTGTCTTATTCACCCTATGGTGCATATATATGTTATATGATTTTCATAAATAGCTAAGTTAATGACTAATTCATAAATTTTCACTGAAAGCCTCTCCTTTGTTTTCCCACAAGTACTTCATGAGTTAGAAGTCCTTTTTTCTGTCTTGGGAAGAAACAATTTTAAAATCAGCTGCATTTATATAAGTGTCCTGTCAGAGATTAACCTTAATTGTATATTTAATACTTTTTAAACTATGGATGTTATTTGTAATTGGTTTTGTATTGTAACTTTCCTAATTGTATCATCCTTACTATTGCCATGCTCTAAACAGTCATTGTTACTAGACAGTGTGTTTCTAAGACAGATGAGAGATCAGGAACAAAGGGCTTTCTTACATCCTGCTTTAGAAAGGGGGATTACGCAAGAAGGGTTGCATAGATCTAAGACTGCTTCTTGGAAATCTGCAGTTTGTGTCACTGGGCACTGATTTCTTTCAAAGCTTTTGCACTTAATCTAGTGAATGCCTCAGAAGTGGACCAGGGAGAGCTTAAGTCCTTCTTCCTAATGTTGCTGTAAGTACTGACTCATGAAACCCACAGATACAAGAGGTTTGTAAAGCATTATTGCAGCCTGGGAATCACACTGCCTTCAGTAGAACTTTCCTTGCACGTTCTTAGCTGGCACTGAAATGAATTAAGCTTCACCACTTAGAACCAACTGAATGTTATCTTTTATATCAGTTAATTATTCTAATTTAAACATCCTTTGGTATACATCTGTCTAGGCATGATATTCTCAATTTCTCAAGGTTGATAACATCTTAACAGAAGGAATGGAGAAGATGCTTCTGAGAGTGGCATCCTGTCTGGGTGAATCTTACTGTACAGAAGCTTGTCTATATGAAAATTTTAGGTTTTCACTGTAGTCAGTCCAGAGAAATGGGCACCACCAAGTGGGAAGGTGGAGCCTCTCCCAGGACAGGAAGCTAGGACAGGTATAATGAAACATCTTGCTGAGGAAGCAGAGGATGAATTGATGAATTTGGATGATAAGGTTAGGAGAGGAGAATAAACAGCCAGTTCTTTAGAGAACTTCTCCTAATGCTCAGAAAGCAAGATTGTGGATGTTCTCTGGAAGGAATGGTGTCAGTCTCCATCCATCTGTCTCTGTCATTGCCTGTACTTTGGCAGATTCCACAGTTGAAGGGCAGTCTCCACACAGCCCCTCTTAGTTGTCATTTGAACGTTTTCCAGTATGTTACCTTGAGACCACTTGCATTTCTGCTGCTGCTGCAGCGCTACTGGATCTCAGAAATGGAGTTCGTTGGAACAGAAACTGTCAATCTTTGTTATGTGGTACAAAACAAATTTGACTTCTGATTGGAATCACATTTCCACTAAAAACTAACCCAACCTATAACTCAACACACAACTCAAACTTTAAACAAGAACCTTCGTTAACTGTTATTTTAATAATTTTCCCACTAACTCCTATTAATTTTCTTAATCTTTTGATATTCTTGGCTCCAGACAGAAACATTAACTATAATGACAGAAGGGTGAATTAACTGTTAATGGCCCAGCTTAGGGGAAACTTGGCAGTTTCTTAAAAGATCCTGTTTTCCTGGTGGACATTTTCAGACCCGTTTCAGACCTCCTGAAGTCTGTATGAGCTTACCTCAAAATTTTCACTCTGTGTTGCAGAGATAAAAGGGTCTTGTGTTAACCTCAGGTGAGAATATTTTGATACAAAAAGTAAAAAATAGTTTGTATTATAATCAATGGATTTAGGGCAGGGAATCTAAATATAACTTACTCATAGGCTTAAAGTTGGGACCTCTGTGACCGATCTTTTAATAAGAAATCGGAGAGGAAGTTCAAATCCCATGGGAAATTAAAATTGTAGAAGTATTCTATGTTTAAGCTGAAAGATACTTCACATATGTAGGGCTAAATATAAATATAGATGTAATATTTTCTTTCTATAAAACAGGATTAAAAAGGCTTTAAGAAACATCAAGTTAATAAGATTGGGGAGCACTTTTGCCCTTTTATGTGAGTAATAAATTATTTACAGTATGTAATCTTAGAGGTTTGACACAAATCTGGATATTCCCAGAGTGTGGAAGCAGTAAAAGCCCTTATTTCATTTTCCATGTACATATTAGAAGCAAAAAGGATACTATGAAGAGAAAGAGAAAGCGTTACCAAAAGGTGGTAGGATTACTGCCCCAGTGTTCTACCACCATACTCACCAGTTCTTGAAAGAGTTGCTGTCCAGCTTGTGCATAGAACATGCCTGCTCGTATCGGAGTGATTGATGTTGGTCAGATCTCCTGGATGCTTTTCCCCAAGGGAAGAGCAAAAGCCATTCAAACAAGCAAATGGCCACCCCAGATGCATTTCTGGGTTGGGGTATCACTTCTACTGTATTTTAGGCCTTTTTACTGAACCAAAACATACATCAGGAAAACACTGGCCTTCCAGGGCCAATTTCTTAATTTATCCAACTTTATTCAGCCTTAGCTTTTTTTCCTTCATTTTGACTCTCTAGCATCTCTTGTTTAGTAAAAGAGGGTTTGACTAAAAGGCCAAAGAAGGGTTCTACAGCAGTGTACTCAGCAGTAGATGGTACCTTTTACTGTCACCAAATTCATCACTGGATATTCTCCTCTGTGTGTTTTGCCCAGCTCCACACTTCCCTGAAGCAATTTTCACAAACCTGTATAGAAAGCAAAATTCAGTGGCTTTTTTGCAATGAGTTTCACCTTTGCACATACTGGCTGTCTCCAAAAAGGCATTCAGTAACGCAGTGTACACTTTATTCCACCCTGTACACAGAAGTGGGTCAGACTCTTTTATATCATGTTCTGTTTCTTCATCTTAAAAAATTTTTGGTTTATCTGGAATCAGTTGTGTGGGGAATTTTTACAGTCTCCATCACGGGAGGTCTTTAAGGTCAGGTTAAACAAACAACTGTCACCAGTGATACTGATGTGGTACAGAGATATGGATGGAAGAAAAGGTGCATTAAGGTCCTTTCCTGCCCTATTTTTGTAACACTAATCAGAAAAGCCCAGTTTTATGATATTTTGCTAAAAGCTGGCCTGATTCTGCTCTCGTGCAGAGGTCAGTTGGGAATAACTGCTTACAGGGCAGTGAGCCAAATTCAGTATGTGAGATCAGAAAAGGGATTTTTTTAAAAGGCAAACATTTTAAAAAAGAAAGGTTAAGAAGGGATGTGAGATTGTAACAGTACCTGGCTTCTCTGGTACCAACTGCACTTGTCTCATTGAGAGACTGGTGTGAGATCAGTAGCTCATGTCAGTGAAACTTCATAGAAGTTAATGGATCCAATATGGCTCAGTGATTTCTTTAACCTTTCCTATCTCCCTCTACCATTTTCCCTTGAAACAGGCACTCCCTGGCTCTACTCAACTTAATACACAGGGTAAACAGGAAATACCAAGTCTTGCACAAGTTCAGAGCATTGCTAATGCTTTCACCTTATAAGAAACTGACTTTGAGCTCACTTTGCTACACTAGCTTTGTGGCATGTATTCTTTGATGTCCAGGTTGTACTGCTGGGGTAAATCATGTAGCAAGAGCCACAGTTCATGCGCAGTTGGAGGTCTTTTAATATACACGGTAACCTGGGTGAAGCAGGGGAGCTTCAGGGAACTCTGAATAACTTTGTTCCAGTAGCTTAAACAGCTACTGGCACATCATTCTGAGTCAGTATATGCCTGTTCTGCTTAGTTACTGTGCAAAGGATCAGAGTGGCTGTTAAGTCTAGGGTTGCTAAAAACCTGTACCATCTGTAATATAAGCACCTGTGTTTATGTTGCCAGCTAGAAGCACAGGACATTTTTATCTAAAGCTTATCAAGGTGAAAAGTGGACTCAAAGTAACTATTCCCAAGTTGCTTGTAGTATAGCAGCTATTGTTCCAAAAGAAGACAACTTTGAATATCTGCTCCCAGTTCATCTCACATCAAACACCTCTAAAGTGTTCCCACATGGGAAGATTATCAAGACCTGATATTAAATTTTGAATTCATAGACTGCTATCCTCCAAATTAATCTCCATGTATAGTTAAATTCTTATAACTAGACAACCCTGCAAATGGTATAATGGAGCCATTTTGTTGGCAGGTTGTTTCACAAATCTGAGAATTTTTTTATTCTGCTACAAGACTGAGGTTTTTATTCTGTTTGTACTTAAATCAGCCATTGTTAGTTGACAAGTTCTCAGTACAATGGCCAACCAGCAGAGCATCTGGGCTGAACTTGGTGTATCTGGTTTATGATGTTCCTATTATAATACTGCTTGGAGGTCAGGTCTCTTCTGAACACGGCAGTAGTGGTCCAGTCATCCAGGCTTTCTATCCCAAATGACCTAGAGGTTGCAGCAGAGCTTAATGAAGTGGTTACTGGGAGCTGAAAGGAAGCTATCAAATTGAAATCTGCCAAAGGCACAGATACAGCTGATACAGACACAGCATACTGACGCCTGGAGTGCAGATTTCATGTAGTGGAAAAGATCAGGAGACTTAGGAGTGGATTAAGTCTTTGTTGCTAAACCTATCTGACCTGTACTACACAGTGTAGCCACAGGATGCTTCCATGCTGTTTTTATATATGCACCTGCCTGGCTGTCCCACCCCCCAGAACCGTACTGTGCCTCTGCCTCTGTTGTTTCAAAAGCCAAGTTTGAAGAGGTTAATGTGCTGTCAGTTACAAAAAATAGTAGAAGTCTGAGTATTGTTTCATTTTTATCTTCTTCACTTTACATGTGATCTGGGCTTACCTTTTCAGATACTGAGTTCACTGGGTGCTGCCCTGGGGCTCACCCTGCTACTGCTGCAGTGGTTCAGAAATGTTAATGACGCACTCACAGCCTACAGCAGTGATGCCCTGTTGTACAGCCTAAGAACTGAAAAGATTTAAAAATGTATTGATTTCATGTGTTTGAGTTTTAGAAAATACCCCTCCTCTTTTGCCACTTACCCTCAATTGCTCACTGCTGCTTTGCTTTTAAAACAGGTTGATTTCTTCCCCTTTCCTCATGACTGGGATACTGGGAAAGAATTGTTTTGCTCTCAGCTCTTGTGACAGGGAGCCTTCAGTGTGCACAAATAGTAACTGAAAAGACAGTCATCTGAACAGATTTAGAGCAAATTCATAGAAATTGAGGAAATTAAAATCACAAAAATTGTAGCCAAAACACACGTTTCCAAGGAGGTATGACTTTCGTACACTTTAACAACAATTATAAATCAAAGTTTCCAAGTTAATCTTAAATCAACACTGCTAAAAGCAGTATATACAGACACTCAGGCATATTGCTTTTATTTTCTGCTGTCATTCTCCAAGTAGGATCATGGGCTGTCGCTTCCTGTATCAGCCTGTGCTGAAAGTTTAATTTTTAGACAAAAACATAAAGCAACATGGAAAGTTTTACGAGACAGACATTGCTCACACTAGTAATGTAGGGCAGGCGAGCCCTGTCCACTGAAGATAAACCCAGTCCAATACACGCATTCCCTTTACATCATTTCAGAGCACCAGGATTCTCAGGCTAATGAAATAACAGTTGATAGTTGAGCAAGAAGAACAGTTTCTTAGCATTGACTACCAATAGAGCATAACTAATGTGATTTTACCTTGGAAGCCCATACATGCACTAATCAGAGAGCTTTCATTGAAACTGTGCCTAATTTGAAATTTGTGGTGTTAACTCCTTCATTGCTATTCCAGTTTCTTATTGCCAGCTTTAAAGAAGTATCATAGTAAGCTTCCACAGTTGCTGGAGTATCTTCTTTTGATTTTGGACATACTGCACATAACCAAGTGATAGGAAGACAATAGCTAAGGACACATAATTAATCATGGCATAGTCTCAAATTCTAAACTATTTAGGTTTCAGACTAAGCTGAACTTCATAGTAAATACAAACCAAGCTTCCTAATGGTGACAGAGAACAGTCTCTGTACCTGATGGGTACAGAGAAGACAGTCAAGACTCTTCTTGGATACTAAAAGCCTGAGAGGCAAAAATGAGCACAAGTTGCACCAAGAAAAAATCATATTAGGTATTAGGACGAAGTTTTTAAGATTGAAATTGATGATGCGTTGCAGCAGTGTCTTGGAGAGGTTGTGAGATATCCATCAAAACATGTCCTGACAAGGTCCTGAGTAGTGCCATCTAATTTGGCCCTGCTTTGGGGCCGGGTCTAAAAAAGATGCCCTTCAGAGGTTTCACCTTCAACCTTTTGTGAATCTAAGGTGTACAACAGTATTTAAGATTTATGTCTAGAGTCCAGAATAAGTCTGAGAGGAGAAACTGAAATTTAGTTACTATCCTCACGGCTTTTTGTGTAAATTTCAAATACAAATAATCAGAATATATTGTTATCAAAGAGAAATGCATCAGATTCATATTGATATAAAAGAGGCAAGAATCTTTCAGTTGTTAAATAGTATAAATTATCTTTCTCTTTTCTTTTAGCTTACCTTCAATCTAATCAGGTCATGGGCTGGGGAGAGAAAGCCATTGAACTACGCTCTGTGGAGACAGGAAATCTGGAAGGAGTATTTATGCACAAGAAAGCACAGAAGCTAAAATTTCTATGTGAAAGAAATGACAAGGTACAGAGATTACTAGAGTGTGTTGATTTAGCAAAAATGAATAATAGCTGACTATGACACTAAGACCAGTTAATTTTTGTAACTTTGTTATTGGTTATTTCTTACCTTAGTATAACTTCCCCATTCAAAGCCAATGTAGTCACTGATCCCACAAGCCCTCTCTATGGTTATTCTGCACTTTCCCACCATGAGCTCTGTTAGAACTCCCAATTCCACCCAGCCTTCACTGCTATCAGAGGTGATAAGAAATCCAGACATTGCTAACTGGCCACACCACAGGTATAGTGGGAAGGGCTGGTGAGTCAGCCCCAAAAACACCCAGCTGCAGGACTGCCTCTCCTGGGCTACTGAAATTACAGGCAGTTCAGAGCAGCCATCGTGGGGGAAAAAAACCCACAACACTCTTAATTGCAGACACCAAAGTATGGATAATCAAGTATGATTTCTTGTATATAGCAATTGTGATAAATGTTCTCTGAAACCTTCTTAATCCCATTGTCATAGTTAGAAAACTGGAGCCCCAAACTGTTTAGATTATTTTTAAATGCTTTCCTGTGTCTTTTCAAATTAGAAAAGAAATATATATTTTTAAAAATCCAGTTGTACCACAAGTAGAGTTTCACTTTAAGAAGTTTCTCATGGGATTAAAATTGATTTGTGATCTCCATATATCCTTGTATTTGGGACTGTGGCATTCTATCAATCTTCCTATATGAGTAAAAATATTCTCATAAATGTAAACTGACAGTAGCATAATTTTGTCTTCCTTTTTTTCCCCCCCTTCAAGGTGTTCTTTGCATCTGTGCAGTCAGGAGGCAGCAGTCAAATATACTTTATGACTCTTGGTCAAAATGTACTATTCAACTGGTAAAGCACATCAAAAGAAGGACACTTTGAAATTCCCCGTAGGTAATAGTGTGAAATTCTTAGAGGTAATATACACAAATTTGCACTTTTTACCTACAAAAATGTTGTCATTACTGACTTATCAAAATTCATATTCTTTCAGTCTGGAAAGAATTCCACTTTCCTGTCAAATGTTGCAAACATGTTTAGTTTGTTTTCAAAAGTATGTTGCAAACCAAGATTGTATTAGGAGACTTTAATGAAGAATGCAGCCAATATAAAAAGCTCCTGTACTCTGAAAAGTGTATGGTTTCACTTTCACAGATAATGTAATGTTGTTATCTTGAACTGAAGTCTCTTTTTTGGACAGCAGCATTTGCAGATAGATATAAAAACACATTTTGAATCTATTTTGAGTTGCGTTTCGGCCTGTTTTGCGTTTTAGCTTGTTTTGCATTTCAAGCAAGCTGTTACTGTTTCACCAAGACTCACTTGTCCAAGTCTTATAATAAAGAGCAACTGTTCCTGGTGGGTCCCAGACTGGGACACTGGAGGGATCATCCCCTGTGCTGGGTGGACAGGTGCGTTTCAGTGCAGAGTTGTAAAAACAGTTAATTCTGAACATGTGGGGGGGATTTTTACAAATGCAGACGTTGTGTTTCTCTCAGGGCTGGATGCCTGAGCCCATAGACACAGTTACTGTAGAATGTATTTGTAAAAACAGTTTAAATAGTATTTTGTCAGAATAATAGATGCATAAAGCATTATGAACCAGAACCTGTTATTTTTATCCACACCTGGGACCCACACTCATATGAGCTGATTTAAAGGCACTACCCATGTATATAAATAAGGGCACAAGATCAGGCACCTTCTTTTCTTCCTTTTTGGTCTTTCACATCAAGTCTTTGTGTATTTGTGTGTAAATATAATCTTTCTGCAATGGATGTTAAGATTAACAAATGTATTCTTAATATAGTTACAAAATTATCCAAAGAGTTAATCTATTATAAATAGAAAATATAAATAATTCCAGGTGCTTTCTATGCTAATTGCATCTAAATAAAGCTGCGTCCACTAGTGTTATTGGTGCCAGTGTTTCTGCATAAACTCTGTTCTCAGGGGCTTATAACTTGGCCATAAAACTATAGAGATATAATATATATATACTATATATAATCATATACTATGATTAAATTGTAGGGTTTAATGCAATCCTCATTTAGCTGATTTTTGGATGTGCTTTGAAAATGTAAAGCATCAAATGTAATACAAAAGAGCTCATTCCAGACATGATACAGTATGGGTGATACTGTAGGCTAAAGTGAAATCACTAGCTACAGTGTTTGAAAATAGGTATTTTTTACTTGAAATATTTGATACTGAAAGGTGCAGGGAAAGTGTATTGGAATATTTGGTCGTCTACCTCAAGGAGGATGATTCTGTGTTGACTAAGGAGGGCAGAAATGAAGTTGTTCAAACTGGTAGGTGTGCTGTACAGTGTGACAGGTTCACTTAGAGTTGGCAGTCATGCAGTGACTGACAGGTGCTCAGAACTCGTATCCTGGTATATGTCAGCAGAGAATCAAACTAGGGGCTAATTACCCTTTCTCCCCTTCCCCATGTTGGCACCTCAACTGCTGCAGGCAGGTCAGGAGATGTCTGCACTGTCGCTGTCTATATTTGGCTATGTGGAGGACTGCACTTTCCAAAGTTCTTAACCTTGCACTTTTAGCTTATCTCAAAATGTATAGGGTTTTTTTTACAAAGTATTTTCCTTTTAAATGTTTAACTAACAGAAAAATAAGCCTAAAGCCATACTAAAAAAATCTGCAATTAAATACCCAGTGTGGTTCTTAATGTAAGTAAGTAATCAGCTTGTGAGCAGACTTCAAATCTGAATGGCAACTCTGTTCTGGCAGAGCTGTGTGACAACAGGAGCTCTGTCTGACTGTAGTGATGTTCCTACCTGTTGCCAGTGCCAGGGCTGGGGCAAATGAGCAAAACGTGGCTTGGCTTCCTATGCTACTGAACATGGGCTTGTTTAGTTCAACTTTCACAGAACAAACAAACAAGCAACAAAAAAAAACCCCAACAAAACCAAACAAGCCCAAACCTGTAACAGAAACAGAGATGAAAGTTAAAATTATAGGAAAAAAAAAATTGCAGACAATCAGAATTACAACTTCGTTGCTTTTGACTTAAGAGTCTGAGAGACTGTGAAGGAAGAGCTTTCATTTTGCACACAGTAGGTGTGCAAAACTTGCTTGCAAAACTCTTTGTGCTATAAGCAATCAAGTGATCCAGGCTGCCCTATAATATTTTTTAAGTGTGCTTATCTCAGCAGCCTCTGCATTACAGGGGATGCATGTGAATATTTTCCCTCCCCTGTTCTGGTGTCAACAGGTAGAAGGCTGATTTTTTTCCTGATGTTAGTTAAGAAGAATTTAGCAGAGAACGGGGGAAATTTAGAACAACCACCCATATCAAAGAAGCAAACGTGTTTGAGATTATTGTAACAGAAAATTGTGACAGTAAGTTGACACACTGTGGAGATGTTTAACTCCATACCAAGAGGGGAAAAAACAAACAACTCCAAGTTCAAGAGAGGGAGTGTGCACTACTACATTGGAATTTTAATTTTTCATTCTGTTTCCCTCTATTAGCTCTCTCTTCTTTCCAGCTACAGTTCAAGGCAATGGGTTGGATTTTCATCTTCTACTTACTATGTAAAACCATTGGAATTTTTGGAGTTTATACTCGTGTAAATATGGAAAGAACAAGGCCCTTAGAGGTGAATGCTTTTAAAGGATTTAGAGGTGGTATTGCAAATAGCAATAGCAACTGGATGGAACAAGAAGACTGTAGCATTGTCTATCAAGAGACAGTCAGAATGGCTGAAGATGAGAAAGAGCCCAGAGATGTTGAGAAGAGTAACAGAAGAGAGTGGAAGTGACTGAAGAGGAAGAGGGGGGAAAAGCCGAAAAAAAATAAATAGGAGTAGCAAGGGGGAGGAAGTGGATGTCTGGCTCAGCATATTGCTGTAGGAGGAATACAAAAGGTTAAGATTAAAGTGTTAAGGAAAAGAGAGCAACCAAAGAAATGGAAAGGTATCTGGAGTGACTGGGGGACACTGAGTGAGAGTGTTTTGAATAACTGTTCAGCTTGAAGCAAAAGTACAAAGGCCAGAAGAAAACAAAAATCCAGTGATCTAAGTTTATCCAGACATAAATTTAACTATGCAAAATGTGTATCAGATTTGTAGCTTCATTTTGTGAGGTGTTTCACTAGCTGTGCCCTTTCACTAACCTTTGAAACCAAGGAGTGAACTGCTTAATGTGTTTTTCTAGTGATGTCAATTTGGCATGAACAAGTGCTACAGGGGCAGCAGGGCAGAACGTTAAGGATCCATGTCAGTAATCCTTTGGTCCATGCAGTGTCCTAATGGCAGGTGGTGCTCCTAATGTTGTATTTGCCACACAGGATTGCGCAATTAGAACTGTATGTATGTGCCTGCTTTCATTTTAGGAATGGTGAACTCTATTCTGCAGCCTGAACCTTGACACATAACTTTAAAACCTGGGAACAATGCAAGCCATGTACTGTATATTATGTATTGTTTCCTATGCTGAAATTGTACAACTGAAACGGTAATAAAAATACTCTGAAAATTAAAACTAGTATCATGCTTGTAAAGATTCTGTTATAGTGACATAAGCTATTGTAAAAATCCTAAAAACCTTTGTTATTGTTTTCCTAGAAACCTTTGTTATTGTTTTCCAAATCCATTCACTATCCTTAGGGAAACATCAACATCTGCCTGTAGGGACAAAATTAATATATTTCCTTGCAGTGGATAAAGATGTCGAGGTGACAGTGTGACTCCAGCCTAGACAGAGTGCTAGTAATGGTGACGGACAGTGCTGAGCTTCACAGGTGAATTTCTGTGCATGCACCTATCTCTTTGCACAAATACTTGGTGGGATGAGGGCAGTGGAACTAGACCAAAATCACAGCCTGCAGGCATTGATGCTACAAGAACTAGTTTGTTTTACATGTACAAGTACTTTGTTACATGTACAAGTACTTTGTTGACATGGTGTCAGATTGGTCTGGAATTAAATTGTTTCTCTGAAGACCATCATAAAAACTGGTTTACAAGTTCAGTTCCATGTTTAGACAGTTGTATTTAAGTTAAATGAAGCATAAGCAAAACAGCAGTCCGTATAAAAGACTTCTATAGATTCTAAAACTTGCACAATATATCAAGGTTCAACACACCACAAGTGTAAGAGATCTTCGTGCTGATAGCCCACCACTTTCTTAAACTGCTTTTTAAAGTACATAGAGCTGATTCAACGGCAAGGGGATGTCAGCTGGGTAATCCCCTAAAATGCTATTTTAGCATTATTTAACCACTTCCTGTGATTTTCTAGGACGGTTTATCAAAAGCACCTAGGAGATAATGAGGAAATGCATCAGAAAACTTTCCCATTTTTGTCCTCAAAACACTTTGTGGTGAACAACTTTTACAGTAAGCTTCATGACCTTGCACACCAAGTAATATTTTTAAATCTAGAGCCTCATCTTTTATTCCTTTGTGCCTTTCATTTCTCCAACATATTTTAAATGTAATATTTAACAGAATGTAATAACATCCTCCTACACAGCATAGCTCATTCCTCACTGTCACTGCTGTAGACGCCAACTGCTGTTTTCTTAAGGTGTGTGGTCCATAAAAACCAAGATGCTTGACTGCTCATTATCTCTGAGAATTCCAGACTGTTGATTCCCCAGAGGTGAACAGAGGTATGGTTTAGCACACTTGGTTGTAGGTATATAAAAATCATAGGGTCTTCAGTGAGCTGCTCACACACCCCGATGGAACAGGCTCAACATAACACAAATCTCTGGTTTTGTGATTCGATACAGCCACCTGCTGATGGCTCATCTCCAGTGATTACTGATTCTCTTAGTGTTTCTGAACTTCCCGTTTTTAATACAATCACATCAGTCTCTCTGTTCAGTTATGGTAGGGAAATCACATCTAGAGGAACTCACCGACCTGACCAGTCATTAAAACATGTTGTTGACATGCTGTCAGCAAAAGAGATTAACCCTGCTTTGAAATCGGTATGCAAGCTAGACCTCTGCTGGTGAGAAAGAAGGTAACAGGACCAAGTTCCTAAGACTTCTATTTTGTATCTGAAACTGCAGTGCATACACATTTATCCAGTATAAAGTATTAATAGTCCTATTAGTCCACATCAGTCCATTATTGCTCCACAAAAGGTACAGCTTCAGTTTCCATTAATAAAACCACAGTGACTTACAATAAGAAAAAAATCTGGCAACAGATGAACATGTAACAGTTACCTCTGTATAAATAAGTTTCTTCTGCAAATCACATCTTGAGCACAGACAAAAGTGGGGATAATTTGGCAACAGTCCACAGATTTCCTCATTATTCCCATAGGTTCATTTAATAACTAAAAAAAGTCTACACCACAGCTCTCCAGGTAAGGCTTGTATGTGATGTGAAATCCCATCCTGTGCAACCTCAGTTTTTGGGGTCATGTTCATTTTTTTAAGTGGTAAATGCCATTTTATCAGTCCACACAAGTCATGTGTTTACTGGGGGGAAAAAAGACACCATGTGGAAATTTTACTCAATACTTGGCTTCAACATAAACAAGAAAAATGACTGATTTGTTTTCAATTTTCTCACTAAGGAATGCATGTTACATGAAATACATAAACTCGTACCATTCCTAGGGAAGTCTACAGGCCAGAAAAAGCTTGGGGTTTACACCCCTTTGTCTACTTTTTTCGTCTGTTTTAAATGGTTCAAGCAACAGGTTTTCCAGTCGGCAAATGCACTACAGTGGCAGAGGGAGTAGACTAAGGCGCCTGGTACCGGGAACCCCCTCACGCCCTTCTCCCGCCACTTCCCACGGTCCCCGC